GTCGGAGCAACAATGCAGTGTATTAATAAATCCAACATTGACAAAGACCGCCAAAACAACTGGCCGCCGGCCAAGCGCAAAAAAGCGGCCTACGCCGCGTGGTCTCGATCAATTACGTGACGCGCCGGATCGACACACTAGTCGCATCTCCGGGAAAGATTCGACTCCCGAAATAGACCGAGGAGCCAGGAGTGGGCTTCAAATGGTCTAAGTCACAAGAACAGTGGCGGATTTACTAGTAGGCCATTAGGCTAGGAAGGTAGATTTTATGGGGCGGCGAAGCCAAATGTCTTTTTAACAATAATGTTTATAGGTAATACTCGTACCTTTATTAAACTAGGATGAGGATAGGNGATGAGGAGGGGGTATATAAATCCCAAAAAAGATCAGGAAGTCAAAAATGGGGTTGTAATGACATCCAGTTAATTCCAAGGACAAATTGCACCGCTTGGACTCGATAAATTAGATGGCGCATCTTATCGACACACTAGTCGCATCTTCATAAAAGATTTGACTCCCAAAATAGATCAAGTATCCAGGAATGGGCTTAAAACAGACCCTAACCTTATGGCAGAAAACTATCCTAACCGTATTATAATTTCGATTAAAATACTTATGTAGTTAATGCAATATGACACTTTAGATAGTTACTTCTTTGAGAAATATTCGAAATCCCAAAATAGATCGGGGAGTAAAAATGGGCTTGTAGTGACATCCAAGGGCAAAAGAGCGGAGTGCATCGCGTGAACTTGAGCGATCATTAGTAGTAGTATTTATTTAGTAAGTGTCGTAGCAGATCGATAAAAAGTCTCACCTCCTGGATATTTAGCCTCGAAAAAGATTAAGTTCAGAAAGAGGACTTTACATGGATGCAGAAAGAGGATTCTCATTTAGGGGATGCCCGGATCACGCATCTCATCTTTGGGAAAGACTCAATGCCCAAAATAGATCGAGGAGCCAGATATTGGATTGTGGAGTGGTGACAAGAATATTTTGTTTGAACTTGTAAATGAATTTTAGAGCTTTCGATATAACCAAGCTTTAAGAAAGCATTTTACCAGCATAAGTTTTAAAACTCAACTTTGTACTTTGCTGCCCATGTTCTATTTTTTGATTAATGAATACTTAACGTTCATTTATTCGTTAATGTTGAAAAACTGACCGTNCTGACCGATTTATACCATCTGTTTTCCCTCTCATCTTCATCCTTCAACGTTGACTGACTACTACAAGGTCCCCAATGGTCCAGGCGGTTAATCCGGCGCTCTAATTACGATGCGTAGGCGCATCGCAGTGACACGTCACAGACACGAGTTCGCTTTCGCCAAATCGTGACGTCACGTCGCCGGGTACACGATCATTTTCAGAGCGCTCTTTATTTTTATGCTTTTGTCAAACGATTTAGTCAACAACGATCTGTAATCATGAAGTAATCGTAAATTAAAAAGTAACAACATTATACACTTTGAGACTGAGAGATTCATTAACTTTTCGAATTATATCTTTGAAGTCTGTGATGCTGTTGAAAGAAGTATTGATGTAGTTAATAATAATATTATTATTAGTGCTAAAGATCTGGCCGGGAGCAATTATTTTACACATTTGAGTTCAGACTTTATAATTTAATTAATTATTCGTTTTAAGTACCTCTTAAGAACAGTTTAGTTTCGTATGTTTATGAACCTGTTTGTCTGAGCGAATTCAAGTATGCCTGCATATATTTTGTCACCACAGCCGGCAAGAGAGTTCTAGCAGTGTTTTTTTTTAATCTCCTCACAATCACAGTTCACAAGAGACCCATAATATGAACACCTAGTAACATCCACGTGTGTAGGTGAGCTATAGGCCAAGGAGAGTTAAGAAGAAGCAACGAATTAGTGTATTAAATAAATCGACTAAATATCCCTCTTAGTATGTCTCTTTAATCGTTCTCTCATCTTTAAAGATCGTGACGCTTTTCATGAAGGTTACTAATTCCTTGAGTTGCTGCTTTGGCACTTGTTCCAACCAACGCTTCGGAATTCGGCTTCTAGGACATCCTACTTTATGATACAATCAAAACAGATGAAGGCGCAACATCAAGATATCCTCAGCATTGAGGAACCTAGAAGAAGATAATATCAACACCCTTTAATGATTAATACCCAAATACTATATGTTAGGTTATACATAATTATAATATACTTGAGTTAGACTGTCTAATGATATTATTAATGTTTTCTAAGCAATAACTTTCAGTGTCCATTTAATTGTCTCATTATGATAATTTTACACTGCACTTCCGGTTTGTGATCTCATGTTGTGATTTGTAGTCTTGTATAAATTAAAATCAAAACAGTAAAATGTTAATATCAATTTTATTTAAAATAATGATTTATTACAATATTTTTAGTACATTGTTATAATAAGAAATAATTTATATCAAAATGCGCCGGGGTTTCCGCTTCCGATCACACTGTAGCGAAAACCACGTTAGCATTTTGTGGTCAATGGCGGGCAGTCGTTGGTGAACTATCGTGTCGAACGAACGGACGGCCGAAATGTAATTGTGTAATACTGATGAGTAATATTGTTGTACAAGTTATTCAATAAATACTATGAAAAGTATCAACCAGCGTTTGAACTTAAAAGGAGGATAAAATATAATATGCAGTACCGATAATAATCTCACATGTTAGCGTGCAACGCCGAAATTAAATTTCAACTGAAACCAAAACCTTTATAGCATCGGCCAATCACCAGCGTGAATGATAATCAAGGAGACGTCTAGGAATAGATCCGAAAAGGCCAGTAGTAAATACCTAATGGCGAAGGTTAGGGGCTTACGGCATAGCTCATTATGAAATTACAAAACTAAGGCTTTGGGATTTAATTGAAAATTCAATCTGATTGACAATGTAAAATTAATAGACAGTCAATCATGTCCAAAACTTGTTAACCTGAGTAAATGTTAATTTAATACCTGTCATAACAAACTATAATACCTAATTCAGCCTCCCAATAAAAACGTAAGAAGTCCTCGATTAAACAAAGTTGGGTGTTCTGATGGAAGACCGGAGTTGGGTTGGCAGCACGTAGCCCTAATATCATATTTTTAGCCATATTAATTACCTACCCTTATTTTCAATGTAAATTATTCCAAAAATGCGTGAACTTGACTTTGTCTCTATACAAATAAACGATTGTAACGCTGATAATTATGTGCTTTAGTTTACTAACAGCCGCTAATCGTAAACGATCTCATAGCTTCGTTTTACGATCACCTCTTTATTAGCATGCAAATATGTTTACCTCTTCAATAATACAAGTTAAATATCGCCTACAGTTCTGCTAACGAAGTAGATTCATAAATATATTGACATCGTTTTCTCTGCTTTTGTCTGTGAAAGAAAAGACTCAATGAAGAATCGTGATACTGAGATAGTAGAGTTTAATATTTTTAATACTCCCTAAATTTTGTCTCCAGTGTTAATCATCTTCATCATTTATTAACATAAGTTATTAATATCACGATTATTGTATTTGTAGGTACTTAATATGGCAAGTGTACAAAACAATTAGGTAGGTACTCTGAGTGATATTATAGTCTGTTATGGGAATAATGACTGACGATGTTATAACTAAATGTTATCTGGGTACCTACTTTACCAATGATTTGAGACTTTTCAAAGTCAAGCATGGATTCGTGTCGCTGATCATATCAACAGTAAGTAACGTAATAAGTGTGTAAAGAGTAATCGTCGCGTGGTCGGACATGGGGCCGAAGGAAACCGGCCAAGTGCAAGAGAATAACACGCCTTGCTTATCATTACGTGAGCGGGTACCGATGCGTGTTTTGTTTTTATTTTGCATGTACCTACTTGGAGACGAGCTGAAAAATACATTTTAATGGGAACGACAGCAGATAATGTGGAATTCCCTTGAGGATAGTACTTTTTCATCTCCCGCTTTGATGGGAATCAGAGGGTAGTACAGTAAATTCCCTTGAAGATTGACAGAATTATCCTTCATCAACCGTTAGCTTCTATATCCCACCAACTACGCTAATGAAGAATGTCCTAATTAGCCAAACTTAGAACTATCACGTAACGCACGTAACGTAATGACCTCTTCTTCACTCTTATATGGCTTACCGATTGTGTAAAATGGAACTAGAGTATTCTTGCTCTTTGTAACCAACGAGATAGTTGGTAGAACTAGAGATATAGGAGAAATTAATTTCTAGACAATTAAGGCTTTTGACTCGGCTCGGCTAAGTTCTCTTATGTAGAGGATAAAAGAAAATGAGCTTAGTATTTTATAGCCAATCATGTTAAGGGTACATGCAAAGCCTGCATTCACTATACACCGGTCTAAAAATACTTGCAAAACAACGCTGCGTTGCTTCTGCGGCATTGAACAAGTATTAATGCGAGAGTCGATCGAAAACAACCTATCGAGCACGATAGGCCTCCATTGGCTCCGTTATTTGAATCAATTTCCCCTCAACGGAATCCTCGCTCATTGCTAAGGATGAGATAGGGACTTTTATAACGATAGGCTGATAACACTAATCGCTATCACCTACTTCTATCATGAATGATGAAATTTTCAGAACCTCTACAGGCCACAAAAGTGTTGGAGTAGAGAAGATGTAAATGTTGTTAATTTTCAGACTATAATAGATTCAGCGACCAAATCAAATGCTTGTCCTAGGCCTTAAAAGAGGCTTTTTCAAGCTACAATCAAGTATCTCCTCGAGTACGGCCTCATAAAGGTAACAGGAAGGCGCTAGATGCAGGCCCCCACCAACCGGCCATTGTGAAAATCATTGGGGGAGGCCTATGTTCAGCAGTGGACGTCCTATGGCTGAAATGATGATGATGATGGATCAAGTATCTTTCTTCAAGTGCCAAGGAGAAAACAATACTCTTTTTATTATTTGAAACTTTTATAATCATTAAGTATCATCATCATTATCAAGATACAAGTACTCTGCAGTAATGCTAAATAAATATCTATAATTATGTGAAAAGAAAAATGTCATGATGGTGTGTGTGTGTGATGTATCCTGAATATGAACTATACTCATGCCACTACAAAAGAAATCGCTACAAGAGTTGTTAATGGGCCTCCTGTCTCATGAGGCTAAGTTCAGTAGAAATTAAATAAATTCGCGAATTGAGCACGCAACCACAGATGGCACGATCGATAAGTCGGCGAAATGTCGTTCGTGAATTATTATTACTTACTAATTTGATTTAGGTACCTTAGTCTGAAATTTATTGATGAGTGCAAATCATTCTTAGAAATGACAAAGTTGAAATGCGACCTTCTCTTGATCATTAATATTAAACAAAATCTTTACTGCATTACTGAAAATATCATCACGACATATTTTTAACGTTCATTTAATTTCACGATTGTTTCCAATCGTTGTCTCATTTCTTTTGTTGACGACAATGAAGACATCGCAGTTTTATATTAGCCTCGGATATTTATAAAAGCTGTTTGTTTGAAGTTTAATCGCGTCTGTTATTTTGGGGAGCGAGTAGATTTGCGAAGTCAAACCGTTGTCTAACGATTGGGCACGGCAGGCTGTCACGCGACCGCGACACGCCGTTCAACCCGCACTGGGATTCATTTTTACCAAGTCAACTATAATAATTAGGTGGCAGAAGATTTGTGTAGGTATATGAGTACGTGAGTGATCGCGTGTGTCCGCAGTAGACTGAACGCCGCGTACGCCGGTAGCGGTTGCGTAGTTTTTCTCGTGGCGCGTCACAGGGTGAGATCGGAAGCGAAGGTTGCGCCCGTGACCGCGCCCGCCGCGCCGCCGCCGCGCAGTGTCGCTCCGCGCTCGCTGCTCCTCGGACCTCGACCCGCGGGAGGTCGCGTCCTGCTGCGACGGTGAAGTGATGTGCGCGTAGCCGACGATGTGCCCCCGGCGAGTGAGTGTTGTGAGATGCACGCGAGGTGACCGCCCGCGCCGGCCCGCGCGACCGTAGCCATGTGGACTCTGCTGCTGCACACCCTGGCCCTTGTCGCTCTCGGCGGAGGGGCCACCTTCACCCCCAACAAGGAACTGCTCGAGTGCGCGAGGTTCGTTCAGCCTTATTTAAATTGATCACCGAATACTGTGCCCGCTGGGACCTCGAACGAGCTACGAAAATAATTTAGATGGGCACGCGAGACAGCCGTCTGGTTTACTGTAACAATTATTTTATCTTCGTCACTATTCCGAAGACGAGAGTGTCTTTCTTTGTTTAAATATAGTGTCTGTTTTTGAGGCTAAGATATCTGATGAAGATATTAGCGAATGGAAAAGTTACAAGTCATTTTAACATCTCAAGAGACCTTTGAATTAAGTAGCAATAAAATAGTTTTTGGTAACTTATTTCCATAAATAGATAAAATACCTGAAACTTAACAAATAGTGCGATTAATGTAATCTTAATTGCTTTATCTAATGGACAATGAATATGGGCTTATAATATGCATTAGTAAGTATTTATAACGTGCATATCGGCGCTGATCTGGCAGGGCTGGTGTCTCCGCGGCCGCGGTCTTGGCAGCCGGCTCCGTTGTTGACATAAACACCGACACTGCATTATGCACACACAATAATATTCGCTTTTCACGAAGAACAATCTGGTAGACAATCCCAAACAATATATAACAAACCACTAGAAGTGATTTCAGTGGTACTATTTTCTTCGATCTGATTTTTAATATTTTCTCTTACCTACTTAAGTATTCCTGTGGTGTAAAATAAACACACATAGTAGGTAGGTGTTTGTATCTATCAGCTTAGAACATTCAAATTACTAGTTTACTACCTAAGACTCTATAAAGCGCTTCTCCGTTATATTCACCACTAGCATCCCTAACTAAGTTACCACTTAGGTATAAGAGGGGGAAATCATCCTGTGAAAAGAGACGACCGGAGAAGGGAAACCATGTTTACTATTAGTTTTATCAACATTAACTCTGAAAAATAAATGCATGTAAAAACATACTTGGCAAACATTATGGAAATGCACGGCGGGATAATTTACCGGATGTCATCTGAAGATAAAAAAGTGTTATTTTAAAATATCGCAGACGCCGAGCGTCTAGATTATGTATGTAGGACATAGAAAGAAGCCAGAATTCAAAGCATTTCCTGTGCGAATACGAAAGGTAGTTCTAACCTGCTATCAGAATCCTATGAATGTTTTATTTGAAGATACGATTAGGTCATTTTGTTACAATTTACGTAAATTGGTACTGCTCCATGGGAAAAAACTTCCTACATTAGGTTCAGCCGAAAGACGTCCACTGCTGGACAAAGGCCTCCATAAGGTATTTGGGTATTTCTCATCGCCACGGNATTTTAACGTCTCAAGAAACCTTTGAATTAAATAGCAATAAAATAGTTTCTGTGTGGTTAGTAACTTATTTCCATAATTAGATAAAATACCTGAAACTTAACAAATAATGCGTCTAATGTAATCTTAATTGCTTTATCTAATGGACAATGAATATGGGTTTATAATATGCATTAGTAAGTATTTATAACGTGCATATCGGCGCTGATCTGGCAGGGCTGGTGTCTCCGCGGCCGCGCTCTTGGCAGCCGGCTCCGTTGTTGACATAAACACCGACACTGCATTATGCACACACAATAATATTCGCTTTTCACGAAAAAAAATCTGTTAGACAATCCAGAACAACTAGAAGTGATTTCAGTGGAACTATTTTCTTCGATTCTGATTTTTAATATTTTCTCTTACTTAAGTATTCCTGTGGTGTATAATAAACACACATAGTAGGTAGGTATTAATATCTACCAGCTTAGAACATTTAAATTACTAAGGTACTTACTTAGTTTACTAAGGCTCTATAAAGCGCTTCTCCGTTGTATTTACCACTAGCATACCCAACTAAGTTACCACTTAGTTACCTACAAGAGGAGGAAATCATCCTGTGAAAAGCGAAGGGAAACCGCCATGTTTACTATTACTTTTATCAACATTAACTCTGAAAAATAAATGCATGTAAAAACATACTTGGCAAACATTATGGAAATGCACGGCGGGATAATTTACCAGCTGTCATCTGAAGATAAAAAAAGTGTTATTTTAAAATATCGCAGACGCCGAGCGTCTAGATTATGTATGTAGGACATAGAAAGAAGCCAGAATTTAAAGCACTTCCTGTGTGAATACGAAAGGTAGTTCTAACCTGCTATCAGAATCCTATGAATGTTTTATTTGAAGATACGATTAGGTCATTTTGTTACAATTTATGTAAATTGGTACTGCTCCATGGAAAAAATCCTACATTAGGTACCTATAGGTAACTGTTAAGTAAATTTACATTAGTGTAACGACAGACTCTTAAGTCTTAACTATTGGGAAGATAAGTAGACCCTATTCCTAAAGGACATCATACCTACTACATGTAAGAAAGTCAAAATCCACTTATAAAAACTAACTCAGGTAACAAACTACCAGACTGAATAAAACATGTTTTAAAAAAATGCGTGGCCAAACCCCAGAACTTACTTCGAAAAAAACACATGGGTGTTTCAGATTCATTCCTGCCTGACCATTTAAATCGCATACTTTAGTTTACCTATTTCATTTGTTGTGCATGCATGTATGTACTTATTTAAAAAGAAATTCCCATTCATCTGACTGAAAAGCGCGACACATCCTACTGTAAAACGTACCTTAAGCTGTTTCCCATTTGTCGCACTAAAGTCGAAGAGCTCCTGGCACGCTGCAAGCTTCACGGCCCTCGCATGTCAACGGGAACCAGTGTGATTTATAGCAAAAACATAATTATTATACCATCTGCAGGTTGGATGACCCAAATCCGAAATTATTTTGAACACGTAGAATCAAAACATATTTTTATTCTGTGTTCCTAAAATTAGACAGTCATAAATAAATAAATACATTCATAAAAATGTTGATAGAGTTTATACATTTAAAACACAATATTTATCTCAGATATTATTGATTTATGTTACACTATTGTTAGATTTAGGGCTAGGGCTGACAAAAAAATCTATACCTATTAAAAACTTTTGGATACGTACTATACCTAAAATATATTGCGTAGGTAATTCTGTCTACTCACTATATAATGTAAAGAATAGATGTCCCTAACTCTATGAAAACCGTGCCATGGCGTAATCAGATCGGCAAGCCTGATAGATTCATGATAAAAATTACATAGGTAAATGCAGCCGAATCCAAAATTCATTAGTTATAGAACCATGATGGCAATTTAATGTACAAAACCTCGGTCTTTACTCCAGCCATTAGACCGCTACAATAAGATCAACCAATAAATCTGAAGCTAACTCATAGTAAACAATCCCCGACTTAGTCAACAATAGATTCTAAAGCGGCCGACCGAATTTAACCCCGTTTATCACGCTATTTGCGTCACTGATACCCTAAATATACCTAGTGGTTGTAACAGTGACAACTGAAATAGCTGGTCCGAATACTCGGTGCAGCTGCGTCTGACGGTTGCATAATGCACGCATGCACGGCGTACCGGCTTGACGTGTAGTGACGTGGGTCCACATAATTCGACTATTTAGACCTGAAGGTGAGGGAATAAAACTCTCAATGATAGGTATTCTACATTCCGTATCCGTATGCCATCGTCCGGGCGTGGCTATACGTCAATTGAGACCTCGAGTCGAGACGACCAACGTTCATATTAGCTGTTGATCAGAAGTTCACGTTTTTTACTTTTTCCTTTGACAGCATTTTGTTTTGTTGAAATAAGTGTATGTAAACAAGGCATCAATTAGGCCACTTTAATAAAATAAAAAATAAAATAAAAAATATAATTATATCTCATACATTTAGGATGTAAGTAGGATATGACAACGACAGTATTGGAATAATCCAACACTCAAAGCGACGACATCCCTTGGTACTGTAAAAGGTGTTATTAGTCAAACATCTTAGGCCCAGAACAGACGGTGAAACGCAACTGCAACGAAACTGCAACTGCTAAGGTAGTTGACTTTTGAGTTGCATCTAAGTTTCTGCCATAGCGTCCGTTGAGAGACCACACATGACGCGACCAGTTTGATACTTTCAGTTTCAGTTTCATTCATCAGAATCATCACAAAGTTGTAGTTTCGTTGCAGTTACGTTTCACCGTCTTTTCTGGGCCTTACTCGTATCATGTGATCAGTGTCATATGTGATCATTACACAAGTCATATTCTGACCGGAGATGACTTTGTATAATGATATATCGCGCATACAATAAGCATATATTTCGAGTGTTACCCCGCACTTGTTGTAAATTAGCATTTGTAAGAAAAATAATTGCGGCAAAAAAGTAAACAATCAAAAGATGATTGGCATTTCTGCTAGAGTTGTGAGATAAACATTGAAGTACACGTTTTTACATGAAAAACTTCATAATATCTTCTGACTTGAACAAAATATGAAAGAAAAACATAATTTCAGTTAAAAACATGCAATATTGGATTTCAATTGGTTTGATGAGCAGAGAAAAGAGGTTTTAGTTCGGACTAGCAACTCGGATAACTTTAACTTTCAAGATCAATGGAATCAAAATTTGATCACCTATGCACGAGTAGATGGCAGTCACCGTACCAGCGCTCTACCATTATTATACTATGGCTATACAATGCTAATAATACTAGTCTACCAAAACAACAAATAAACAATCAAAATTACTGTTTTATAGATGTAAAGCGCTCCTAAATTCACTATGAAAACGATTACAGTTCAATCTACAAGAGATTTTCTGATCAAAATATTTTTTCTTTACTTCACATAAAATAAATTAATTACGATCTTCAGTGCTATTTAAAAAATCTTTTTGACATAGATTATCTAAAATAGCAACAGAAGCGTGGGAAAGTTCTTTAACCTATGCGTATTAAATAAATCAATATATATATATAATTTCGAGGGCTATGGAAGTGTCGTCCCAGAAATTTGGCAGACTTTGGCACATCTCCAATGGATCATCATCTCGGTGTGAGCCAGCCGCAAATGGCTATGTATAAACACACGAATCTGTGTGTAAATAACCTCTGTAATGATATAATTG